AATGTATTTGAAGTCACAAAAATGCATTGTTATTTTTACGCTGTTGAAATAATTGATGCGGCAAAAAAAATTTTCTTTTTATTCCCGCATCAATATTTTTTTTTATTAAAAATATATAAACAGTATATACTGTATATATCTATACTATATATATATATATATATTGTAAGGAAAGTGAATGAATATTGCTACCCCTAAATTGTCAAATTTTCGGGGGCTTTGGCCCCTGGACCACTTTCGAAGCCTTTGAATTGAAGCTCTACTACGCCAACTTTGCTTTCGTCCCCACCCCCCGTCTGGCAAATCCTGGCGCCACCCTTGGTTTTGGGCTACAACAAACATGTGGGTGCATAACGAAGAAATTTGCTTTATAAATAAAGATAACTTACGTAATCGCAGCATATCCATGGATAGAGCATGATGGAGGTTGGATAGAAAGAATGGGACTTTATGACAGCCAGCAGGCTATCCAAGACCAGCGAGTAAGTTTGAAGACTCGTGTGTGATGGAACCGGGGATGGAACCAAGACCCTGATTGATGATGCAGGCCTACTGAATAATTAATACACAATAATGCTTAAAATGCTACGATACTTACTTTGTATTAATGGCCGTATTAATTAATGTCAAATCCACTATCGTACTGAGTAAAATACAGATTTCTCTGAAATAAACAACAAAAGAATACTCTTTCATTCAATACGACGGATTGCCCGCGCCTCCACTGAGAGACCGATCTAACCCTGACTTCTATACTTCCACTATCTCGTTTCAATGCTCCAGACGTCAAGAGATTGTTTACTCCCAGTACCAACATGGAAGGTTCGATTATACAGAGCGGGGTTTTCATAAATATATTACATGATCTGTGGCGATTTATCAAACTTTCTATGATTCCTCCGTTTATATTCTTAAATCTACCGGAAATTTATATATATTATCCACAGATATATTTTATTAAATGCGACGTTGTAATTCCGCTAGAGATTTACAATGACAGCTGAATTCCGTTTTAAAGTTTCAATGGACCAATCTGAAAGGAAAAACGAGAAGTTTTCGATGATACTCTTGACTGTAATGAAAATCGATGTCAATTAATCGACTTTTTTTCACATGTTCTGTGAGTTAATCATCGAGCAAAATGTTATTGCGTCATCAAAGCACAATAATGTTTGTTTATTTGTATTACGTTCGCCAATTCAGTTACTGGAATGTTGGCAGAAGCAAATGTTCAGAGCTTAACGTTGCACAGTATGAACTATTGTAACCCACAACGGTTCCCTTGCGAGAACGAGGACAGTATTAAATCTCATTCAGGTTTTTATTATCCAAAAGAAAGCATGTCGTTTATTTTCTATAAAATAACAATTATTATTATTATTATTGGTATTAAATGCTTGCGGTACACCACGTAGATAGTCCTGAAAAGAACTGTTGTTGGTTGAGAATGTCTCGATGTTCGATTAGGTTGCTTCAATCATCGTGAGAATATCTGCAGAAAATTCCAAGCAGGGAAATACTTATATGTTTGAATAGTGAGACTTGCTGCTGATTGGTGGAAAACTAAACAATAACTGAGACTATGTGTAAAAAGGTTAATACAAAAGCCAGTATTCACAGTCTGTGCATATAAGGGTGGACGTGGCATTGTTATTTTTATTGTTATTTTTTGTTTATTGTTAGTTTTATTGTATTATTAATTGCTACTTCGTTATTTTTTAGCATGTCTTTTTATGTTATTTGTTATTGCTATTGTTGTTGCTTGTTGTTTTTGTTGTTGTTACTGCTGTTACTGTTCTGGGCCTACTGTATACTTTTATTGTATTGTATGTAACTGTTGTTTTTATTGACTTTTCCCGCATTAGCGGAAGAGACATTGAGTTTTGTTTTTTGTTTTTTGGGGTTTTTTTTTTTTTTTTACTTTTTACTTTACTATACTTTTGCAAAGAGTATTAAAGCGACCGGCTCCTTGCCGGTCACTTTCGTACTTGGATTCTCTTCAGAATTTGTCCAAGCAAAGGCCATATACCGTAGACCTAGGCCTATTAAAAATGTGCATATTAAAATATGACGTCATTCTACATATTTTAAATGTTAATAAGCTGGTATAAACTTTTTTGTTTATAACCTTTATTCTAAAGGGTTTCAAACTATTCAGATACTAATCGCAAAATTACCGTGAAATTATGAACAGTTTTCGGCCGCAACGTGAAACGCAAGTAGACGAACTGAAAATGCGCTTTCCCCATCCCCCTCCCCCAAATTTCAGACGCTGGCGCCGCCACTGTTGTATCTACAACAACATGAATCATCAGCCATGTGAATATTTTTTGACTTTGCAAATGACAAGGCCACATGGTGCGTCGTATCTTTAGGCGGCAGGCAGCCCACGTTTTTCATCTCTTTTGATATTGTTACTGAGTCGCTTATGGATAATTCTATAATTGATAGATGCATCTGGTTCCGCTGTCTTTGGTGACAGCTCTATCTTGCAACCGAGAGCATAAAAAACAGATTGGGTATTTTCAAAAAGCTGACATTACAGAATTGTTATCGAAAAGGGATACTGCAACTTTAAATGCCACAAATTCTTATGTCTATTGTCATTTTTTAGTTTACGAAAATAATGTCAATTAATGTACTGTATAAAGATAGATCTTCTGTAAGTAAGGAATGGAAGTACGAGTAAATTTAAATCGAAGGGGTCATCACCCGCCCGTCGGACAAGCTGGACCGGACCCACGTCGTCTAAAGACACGACAAGGTTAATGTTATTTTTAAGTCCAGTTAACGTTATTTTGATTGCCAATACCTAATATTTTGGTGTCTCTTATACACATCTAGATGTGTATAAGAGACAGAAGTAGGCCTATTTAGTAAGTTAGATAAATGACAGATCTTATATACTAAATACTCAGGAGTCTATCCATTTTTTTGTGATAAGGTCATGGTGGGGGAAGGAGGTGCGCACTGCTTGAATGAAGTTGATTTTACAGTGGCCAGGAAGTCCTACCTCCTATTCCATTTAAGTAACAAGAAAATGTATGAAATAAAACGATGAGAATGACGAAAACGATAACGATGACGATGGTAATGATTGACAAGTTGTGATGGAATCACGCTGTCAAGTTGCTCTCTTGTATGAGATTTTACATAAAGAGCTTGAGATTGGGCCTGAATGCGTGAGTCTGACGCCAGATGCGTACACTTGTGCCAGATGCATATAATAAATAATAATAATGTTATATTTATATAGCGCATATTGCACATTGACTAATGCACACTAAAGTTAAGTGAGTCCAAGCTGGAATTAACAGACTGCAAGGGGACCCGGCCAGGCTACAGGCAAAAACATCAGCCACGGAAAAAATCAGCGGCAAAGTCGTTACACATAACAAAGATATTTGTTGGTGATTATGTTGGTCAGGCTTTAATGCAGGCATAACAGGGACGGATCCGAGATGTCCGAAAGAAGAGAGGGGGAGAAAGGGGAGCCGAAAGTTGGGCCGATCGAGATAACGCTACCCTAAGGGTCTGGGGGAATTCCCCCGCGAAAATCAGGTATTCTAGACGCCGAAAATAACCTCTGAGGCACTTTGGGCGTTCCATTTTTTTCTTTTTCTTTCCTTTTTTTTTTTCCAAACGGGGGGGGGGGGGGGGGGGGGCGGGCCCGGACCCATAAATTCTCCGCTGTATAATATTACGATCTGTTTTAAGGGCTGTTTTTCACTTTAGATTTCCATCCATTATGATGATATCGGCGTTGCAGTGACAATTTTCACAATTAGCAACAGACAACCAAGAAATAAGCAATCAATGGAGGTGGTATAGGCATAGGCCTATCAAAGATGCAACCAACATTTCTAATAGTAAGTCTACGAGCATCAGAGAAAACTACATCATACTGTAATGTTAGAATCAAGTCTTCCATAGACTTTTCAAATACAGCCCCATTTTTGATCAATAAATTACATTGAATAAATGTTAATCTTCTCTTTAACATCTAGGCTATCCTCTAGTGTGTTCGTAAAGAATGGAACTATAAAAAAAAAAAGACATTAGCAATATTATATCTATGTTGATTCTTTTGTCAACTGAAAGTTGAGTAAAAAAGTTCTAGTTCACTAATTGGATAGACAAGACGAATACACGTAGACTAGCTCAAAATTCAATCAGCAGGCCTACTTACGCAAAATGATAACTTTCAATGTCGACGACGCAAAACATTAAAATAAAAGCCAGAAAATGCTTTGAATAATATTGTAAGTTCTGTGGACGTATGTATTCCCGTACTGTTAAGGTTCCATTGATGATATATCGTCTTTTTTCTTGTCTAATATTCATGTTCGTTCATACAAACGAACGAAATAATACTAATAATAGGTCTTATATTTCTTGTCTGCTCGTTGCTTTGTTTTCGCCATATGTGAGGATATTTTTGTGCATCTGACTATGAAGAAAGATTTATTTCTTTCTCCATGATCTGACCCACATGAGAAAGTAGAAAACGGCTAATATTGTATGAATCAAAATCGACACGGCCACTGTATTCACACAGATCATATATATTACATCCCACGTTCGTTTAATATTAGTATTAATAAATACATCTAGGCCTATGTTCATTAGGCCTATGTTGTTGCTCATCAACGTTCTTTCAAAGTTAATTTTATGTCTATCAATCAAATCAAATTTATTGGATATATATTTTTGCAACAGTGACACATCATTATCGTCCTTACAAAATATAAGAAGTAGAAAATCGAAAACATACTTTGAGGTGTATATTATATATGGAAGGCCTATGTCTTACATGCAGGTTATTTAAATAAATGATGTGGTTTGTTTGTTTGGTTTTTACAACAAGAAAAACAATATTATTATATCATAGCATGTTGTGGTGTTATAAAAATAGTACGGTATACTGATTGTGATCCCCATGGGGCGAATGATTGACTGCGTGTCTGTATCGGTTCACCTGCTGTGAGTTTCTGAGTATGAATCAATCAATCGCGACAGAATCGATAAATGGGGAGGGGAAGTCTGGAGAACATGTTCGGCTTAGGCCTATATATGACTGAATTTCATCAGACAATATTTGTTTTGAGGGGTGCAACTACGCAAATGGGAGAGGGTGGGTTCCGGGCACAGAGAACAAGACTTTTAGCAAGGAATAGAGAAATCGAATTCAAATGACAATATCGTTACTTGTTGTTTTAATTAGAGGGGAGCAAATACGTGAGGAGGTTCCTGGGAGAATTTAACCGCTGTCATTTCTTTTTTTGGGAAAAGTTGTAATGGGTCCACCTAATGGTTGTCTACGGTATTAAATGTACCATCACATCTCTCACATGCTCTCTCAAATTTTAACGTAAATGTGAACTTACTTTTTTAAATATTACACAATAAAGGCCTCAGACACTAACGCTTAATGTAGAGCGAGAGATTCATAATGTAAACAAATGTTTTAATCAATACTCCAAGCATATTATGAGGTATAATGGCAAATATCTTCCACACTGGTATGAGAAGCAGGCTATATAAAAGCTATAAATACTGGACATGATTAAGCATTATAAATGTAATGATCATGATAGATACGCCGCAATTGTTTTTAAAATTATGCCTATTATTGATCTATTATACACTTGGCCAGACTCTCGGTTAACAACTTTGATATTCATTTAATACATTCAACAGTAAGCATATGGGCTATCTAATAAAATTAGTCTTTCTAAAGTATTTCTAAAATTATA